TTGGTTCTGAGAATATTTTGAGCCAATGAAATCACTGTGTTCTATAGCTGCTTCAAATTTAATATGCATGTACATGTACATGCAGGGATGAAAATAACAGTCTGAAAACGGCCAAAAACCGACTAATTTTACTTGGTTTCCGTCTAAAAAAAAGCTTATATTGGCTACATCGGAACCAGAACTTTCTCTTGATATTTGGGACAACTAGTTTACTGATTAAATGTAATTGTTGAACTTTTGTTATCTCAGTGATTTTTTTACAAAAAGCATTTCTTTAAGAGATTTAAATGATACGATACACATGATAATTGCTGCATTAAAAAAGTGTCCTGTCATTGCTTCATGCTGTCAGACCAAAAGCAAATATGACCTGAAAAGTTGCAGATTAATACTAAACCCTTATTTTCATCCCTGTACATGTACAATTAATTAAATTCAATTGACTTGCAATAATACATTAGTTTATTTATAACATGCATGTACACCAATGGAAAGTTCATTTGGCTAATTACTGCATGTACATGTATTTATATTAATTTTTGGCTAATTTTACAGATTGCACCATTAAATGTACATGTACTATAGTCAATGTTATTATTATTAATTATTGTATTATTCACTATAGGCTGCTCCCTGTATTCTATTAGGAATGGACTCTCCTCCTAAGAGTTACACAATATTGAGACACACAGCAGGTACTGTAGCATGAGTCTATAGTGTCACATGACTGTCACATGATCCATTATACACAGCTATACTGGGGAACATTGCTTTTGAGAAGGAACTGTACAGAAGAGAGATTAAAGTAACTGGTGGAGTCACTTTACTGCTGGAGGTAATAATAATATAATATTTTATAATTTTGATTTTCTAAAAATGTATTATGAAGTATTGCATAGCTTGTGATTTGGAGGAAGAAAAATACACCGTATAGTGCAAAATTTTTGAGGGCTGTAAATTCCGCGGATTTTGCAATTTTTGAAGAATTGTGAAAATTACTCCCGCAAAAATCAAAATTATTAGGACACAAGATGGTGGACGGTATAAATTCACAAATATTAAATCTACATAATAGATTTTTTAGGCAAATTTACAAAATTTACAGCCCTCAAAATTTTGCGCTCTACGATAAAATTTTGATATACATGTAATACCGTATAGCTTGAAATTTTTGTGGAATGTAAATTTTGTGATTTTTGTGGTTATGGGCTGCCCACGAAATTTAAGCCCACGAAATTATTGAAGTGCCATCCCCTTATGGGCTATGTAAACTGTCAACCACGAAAATTAAACCGCAAATTGCCCCACTAGGAGCAAACCACAAAAATATCGACCCACGAAAATATCAAGCTATACAGTAGCTATTTGTCAAATTAAAACACGCCATTTTGTACCATTATGTACATGCTCAATGGCACATGGACAGTTGGACACAATGTGAATTAACCTGTTCAAACTTCATGTATAGATGTATTGAAGTTTGAACATGTACATGTACATGCTTGCAGCATTTGTGTACCACAATATACTTCATTGCTGTATTTATTCATTGTTTTATTTTATTTATCATTTTTAATTAATGATCATTGTTGCTAGTTGTTGGATTGTCCTGATGATAAAGTGAAGGAGGCTTCATTAGGAGCTGTTATGAATTTAACTCACTCAAAGGAGGTCTGTGTATTAATGAGACAACTGGGAGCTATACAAATATTAACTGGTAATTAATAATAATAATAATAATGATGATGACCAATTAATAATTACTACCGTATAGTAGGAAATTTTGGAGGGAGTAAAATTTGGTGAATTGCTAAATTTTGGTGATTGGTGAGTTTTAATTCGGTGAATTTGTGGCCACGTGCCATTGAGCATGCGTATAATGGCTCAAAATGGCTGATTTTATTTTGGCAAATGGCTATCAAAATGTCAATTCGCCAAATTTAATTCCCTCCAAAATTTCCCGCTATACAGTATTATACTTAATGCATACATACATGTATGTACATGTATGTATCTATTAATTATTATTGTATTAATCTCCATTAATATCATTCTCTTCTCTCCTTATAGAACTCTGTACTCTACCTAATATCAGTATTCAGATATCAGGACTGTGTCTGGGTATCCTTACCAATGCACTCATTAATGACACTGAGGAGGCTCTTGAGGTATTTGAAGTGTATCATGTGTATGATAGACTGATGGACTGGCATGAGGAGAGGAAGGAACACTGTACTGATATTGAGGGGATCATTGAACAAGTACTGACCACCATTAGTGGCCTAAGGAGGTAAGGACATCAATATGTATTAGAAAATGTAATGAAAATTTATGGTGATTTTGGAGCCATTTTTCCAGAAAAAAACATAGACTATAGTCCATGTTTTTTAGCCTTGGGTATTTTTCAGAATTTGGGCATTTTCTTAAAATGGCCGTAACTCAAAAAATTAAAGTTGGAATCAGCTCAAACTTGCTACACAGCATAAGGACATCAATATGTATCAGAAATGTAATAAAAATTTGGAGCCATTTTTTAGAAAAAAACCATGGGCTTCTATTCATTTTATATTTCGATCATGACAATCATGACACATTACTTTTTTATTTTAGTGGAAATAAAATTGTTACTGACGATGAAAAACCTGGACTAACATGGTAATTAATAATAATTGATTAATTAAATACATTAATTATGTCATCATCATTACAGTGCCCCATTCCCCAAGCAAAGTGATACAACTCCAAAGACCTCAAAGGTGAAGACGGCCAGTTCCTCTCTCTCCCCTTCACCTCACCACAGGCACAACGGTACACCACAGACTTGGAGTCAATAGTTTAAATACTCTTTTCTAGTACTTGAATTAGTATTTGAATTTTTGTCATTTTACAATGGACTCAAATTTGTTTCTTGCTTATGACAATTTTTGTGACAATGGAACTAATAGGTTTTTGATTGTCACGGATTTTGTGACAGGAATTAGTTTTTGCTTGTCATGGATTTTGTGACAATTATAAAAAATACAAATAACAAAGAGCCTTGTTATTATTATTATTATTATTATTACTGTTATTAGGTGCTGGTTCTAAACACAAGACCTCACCTACCTACAGGTTACTTAGCTCTGAGTTACGTAAATCAATGTCAGCTCCTGCTTCTCAAGAGACAGCCATTATTTCTCCTCCAGTGACTGCTCCTGGTAGTGGGTCTACTTCTGATGTGTTCTTGTTTGGGTCAATAATTAACAGATACAATAAGAACAATAGTTGTAACCTTTTTATGTAAGTACCGTATAGCTAGAAAATTTGGTGGAGTAAAAATTTGACAAAATTGGCGAATGGAAGTTAAGTTGCCAAAATTTTAGTCTCCAATTTGATAGGATTTCATAGAACCATGTCCTTTTTGGAATCAATTTGACAAATTTTAACACTCTAAATTTTCTAGCTTTGTGGTAATTCTTCACAAAATTCCCATGCTACATGTACATGTATTATTATTTATTATCACCAATATTTTCCCCAATTACACGTATATTTGTTACATGTACATGCACACATTATGGATCAATGTATCTCCTGTTATGTTGTTAGTGATATTTGCTCCATTGAATCTTTAAAGAGACACAATATTGATGATCGAGTATTGAGGTAATAATAATAATAATAGTTACATGTACATGTATACATGTTCTTGTACATGTAGGTCATTGTGTGCGCTAGCTAATGATGAAACTGGTGGGTGTGTCTATTTGGGTGTGGCCAGTAACGGAATAGTTCATGGGATACCACTGGAGAGGGCACAAGTAAAAACTATAAAAATATTTTGGAAAAATTGAAAGCTGATTTATTATTTAATTTTTTAGCCCCTGTATTAAAATATTACCGTATAGTGGGAATTTTGGAGGGAGTTAAATTTGGCCAGTTGCTAAACTTTGGTGATTAGCGAGTTTTAATTTGGTTGAATTGTGGCCACTTGCCATTGAGCATGTGCATAATGGCTCAGAATTGTGATTTTTATTTTGGTGAATGGCTATCAATATGCCAAATTTAACTCCATCCAATGATCCAAATTTTCCACTAGATGGTATTTTTTTCTTTTTTTAGAAAGATATGATTCGTAGAGATATTGATCGTTCCATCAGCAGAGTGATAGTCCCTTCACTTGATGATAGATACATCGTCTCATTCCTTCCTGTACTGAGAGGAGAAGAGAGGGAGGGAGAAGGAGCTGCTAATAGTTTTGTGATTGAAATCAACGTACTGGCATCACTTACTAATGCTGTTCATATACTGAGAGGAAGGGAGAGTAAAGATGGAGGAACTACTGATGAGAGATGTTTTGTGACTAGAGATAGACAGTGTATGAAGGTTAGAGAATGTGAAAGAAAGACTGACCTTATTGTGTATGTACATGTATTTGCAATTTTGAAGGTGCTACATTTGTGGTGAATTACTAAATTTGCAGTCATTAGTTGGTTTTAAATTTGCCAAAATTTTAGTCCTCAACTGAAAAACCACCTCCTCCAGTATGTATACATATACATATATCTTTAGAGTGACAATAAAATATTAAGTAATAGATTATATTGATTAATAATTATCATTAATGTGTATTTGTAGTTGAGTTTACTTGAGGTACAAGAATTAGTTGAAGCTCGTGAAATTGAAAGATACAAGAAGAAAGGAAACATTCAAATGTTGTAAACTGTAAACTGCAGTCCTTTGTATCATTTAATCACTCATTCATTTATATTGATTTATAATTGTACATACTAGTATATGTACATTGTTTTTTGTCATTATATTCATAATAATGTTCAATTGTCCATAGTGACATAGCCTCAACCTGGTGGCAATGTGCATACATTAAAATTCCACATTCAGTCATCAATTAATTGCAAAAACAAGAAAAAATTCATTAAAGAGAAAGTAATAATATAAAAAAAATAATGTAACAGCAAAGAAAACAAATGGTGAGTGCATGAACTTATTATTGAAAGTATAATCTTTTTTTAATAGTTTCATAATGAGGTAAAGAAGAACAAACTTGTTCGTGTTCCTTTTTTTATCATAGTCTCGCTAGTGTATTATTGGTCCTGAGAGATTCCATCAGTACCAGTGTTCCATCCGTATCAATGTTAGTATGGTCGAGAATAACAACAAATACATAGGCATA